TAATTTGAATAAGACTAGAATCAATTCTGATTTCGCTGGCATATATGGAGTTTCTTTTTTCTATCAAAGTTGTTTTTGTACTTATTATCAAACACCAAGCTACTTTTGTAAGCAGCTTTTTATGAGTAGTTCAAAATAGGGTTGCGGTTTATACTTAATTATTCTGTAAAATATTGTCCTCTGTTATTTTCGAACTCTTGAGCCTAAACCGTAATTATATAAATTTTTTCGCTGATAAACCGTTGAAAGCAAGCACCAACTTTCTTCCCTATTCTTTCTTACACTATCATCACCTATTCACATCCTTACTCATATATACGTCTTTGTGATTCCTTTAATGTTATCTGCTTGATAGACCCCTACGGGTTACAATTACAACAACAGCAGCATCTTTCCAACCCAAATTTTCTCAGCGAAAACGAAAAATCATTTCTTATCGCACTTAATTGTAAATTACATAAATACTTGCGAGATTTAAATGCTTGATTTATTGTATGAGTGATTTAAAATTTTTGAGCTATAAAACGTCCGTAGTTAAACTACGATATCTTCTCACTATTATAAAGAATATCTGAACATGCGATTGAGTTGGAAGTTAAATTTTTTGTAATTGTTATTTCTTTAATGGTTTACAAATTAAATTTTTTTAATAGCACTCTTCTCTAATTGTTATAATGCTTACTCTTAACTTTAAGCTTAGATTAATTTTTCCAATAAAAGTGAAATCCATTTTCTGAGACTACTAAATATACAATCTTACATCGCCAACAATTCAATATTATGTCTCCAACATTAAACAATTTATGTCCATCACAGATTGTCTATCACCTGTATCAGATAAATCACCTTTAGTGAAGATAATCTAACAATAATCGATGAATACTCACTTTCGTATTCTATTACAATTTAGGACCAACCTTAATTCGCTCATCCATCAAAGATCAAAAGGTTATTTAGGTTACGAGTATTTACATTACGAAAAGATAAAATTTTATTTCAGTTGCTTTGGACTTTTCAAAAAAAATTTTCCCACTGCAACTTAAGGAAACGAATAAACTTTTCAAAATTTTTTTTAAAAAGTTTCTTTTATTTATTATTTTTGTTATAAAAATTTATGGCAACATAAAATATTGCCTCAATAAGCGTGTGTCGGCATGTCAACGTCGGTGCAACAAGGCATCAGCCAGCAAAAGCTGCAGGAAACAAAAATACCAAAATTAAATGTAAAAAATCACAGGAGCATCATGTAACCAACCAACCAACCTACTAGTGAACCAGCCAAGTTGATGGTTCCAATTGCTTTGTTGTAGTATACGAGTACCTGTTTTACGTAAGATTTTATGAGCAGTTAAGTTGAGCCAACATAAAACTACTTGTTTGCGCTGAAAAGTGCAAAAAACAAAACTACATACTCCGTTAAGCATGCGCAAAACAGTGAACATATTCGTAAATTGCATTCACAAAAACAGTAAATTCCAAAACAACAACTGCAACAACAAAAACAGCAACAGCATCAGCAACAACATCAGCAACAGCAACAGCATCAATTTAACATACAACTAGTCCATATGCAAGTGCTTTAGCGAAGATACAGGGAGTAAATCAATGGAGTTGTGATGTTTATCAGATTATATAAATTTAAAAATGGTTGGGGATATCGTTCCCGGTTTTTAAATATATTAAATCTCAACCTATAAAAGCAAGTGGTGTCTTTGTAAATCTGAATGTAAATGTTTCTTTACCTCTACAAATAGTCCAAATTCTTAACACGGAAGAGACCTCCTCAACTACAATTATAGTAGGCACATTAAGTATTACTCTGACCAAAGTATAGAGCTGTTCCCTTCGTTGATAGTCAACAACTTCACGATAAAGAAAAATCTAACTTACTTACTTAGCCATTATAGACGTCAGTCGTTATTGACCACGTCGAGTTGCCTCCGGCAGCCAGCCCGATTAGTTGCTTGCAGTCGTCAGTTGGTAGTATCGAGCGCCCCCAAATCGCACCTTCCACCGAAGATGCAGACGTCCTCTAACGCATTTTGCACCTGTGGGTATTGAATCAAACGCTTACCCTTTATTAAATTCCGTACGCATATAGTTAGGTATTTGCTTTCTATAGAAAATATCTATTAAGATCCCAGTGCTTCCTTTCTATTGAAAATTTGCATTATTAATATCTTGTTTTTATAGCTGTTATAGTAATTTTTGAAATTACATATTGTGAAGAACATCATTTTCAACTGCTATTCTTCACTTCCAATGAAGCGTAGCGGTCACAACATTTCGAATATATTGAATATATTTTGCGTACATGTCTCCAGTCTTCGAGATATGTACGCAAAATGTTTTTGAAGACATTTCGGTGATTTGTTCGAAAATGTCTTCGAAGATCGTCATTCATTTGGATCAATTGATTTTCAGGCATGCATCCATATCTTCGAGACGTCTTCGATGACCGATCGAACCATTTCCTACTGGGTTTTTCTGCTATAATATATTGGGTAGTATAACCAGTGCTGCTTTTAAAGACCAACTGTCGTCATTCATCGGTTTTTTTTTTCAATTATATATCAGTATAGGGTTAGACACCTACAAAATCATCATTCAATCAAATCACCTATAAATTACCATTGTTATTAAGATCCATACCAGAAGACATTGTGACAGTTGTTGAGAAAAGTAGATTTGTTGTTATGTTCCCATATTAACTTTCAGTAGTGTTACCACTTATATTTATATCTTTACTAGAACATCATTGTATATTTAAGATCATGCGTGATGAACTTAAACACTATCGATTTGTTGATTTTTTTTGGTAGCAGATCACCTGTTTCAAAGCAAAGAATCATTCTTACTATATCTAATCTGATGCAAATAAACTTGAGATGTGAATTACAAGTTATTTAACTCTGATGTTATTGGCTTGGGAAACCATATCAGTAATTAGGCTATCACCGGTATGCACCCAGAATCAGTGAGGCACTTAATAAATCTCTTATCACTGCTGGGTAGTGCTTTTCAATAAGAATAACTCTCTTTTTTAATTCCATTTAATTAGAATAATTTAACAATTAACAAGTAATAACTATAAATAACAAATAATTACTTTAATTTTGTTCAACTTATCATGTTTTGTTTAGTTCTAATCTCAACTCACCCTGTATATATGTACGAGTTCAAGCTCATACGTGAATATAAAACAATTCACAGCGATCTTAAAATACTGATTAAGCTGCTGTTGCTATAATTTTTGTTGTTAAAACAAAAATTGTTGGTGCAAAAGTTACAGTTACCGCCGTTGCACACTGACAACACCAACAATTCGAACAACAACAACAATAACAACTAAATGCTGTTACTACTGTATCTGGATCATTGATATATCAAATGAAAAATCGCCGCAACCATCGCCAATTCATATCAGATCAGCATGCAATGATAGGCTATTTCGGCAGGCAGTTAATATAACAGCAAAACCAACAGCAACAACAACAGCACACATCCAACTGTTGCAATTTCAACTGCAACATTTAGCTGAAAGCAGCAATTTATTTTGCAGCTTTTTTGACTGCATAAATGCATTTTTATTTGCCGCCTAAACGTAATAGGGAATTGTGTGCGGTTTTCGGGCGATTTCCAATTCAAGATCTTACTCTTTAAATACCCTCTCCGCTCCACTGAGTAAATTCCCAAAATTAAAAACTGAACAAATCTTTTCAATTTATTCATTAAACATGCAAAGCTAATTTAAAGTTTTTTTTAAAATTTTTTTTTGTTTTATAATTTGTTTTTTTTATTTTGTGATTATATTCCCTGACTATTTTTATTTCAATAAGAAACGGCAATATTTATTATTTTTTATTATGGAACTTTCACTTTTTTGTGAAGTTGTAACATCTTTTGACCGAAACAATAACAAACACACTTGTGTATATACATTACATATAAAGCAGATGCATTTTTTATGTGTACACAGTGTATACTTGTACTGGTTTTTCTATAATATATAGTATGTATCTGCAGTATATAATCGGCACGATTACCGAGATGGCCGATTAGAGTCAGCCATCTCGGCTGAACAACTTTTCCAACTACGATATAAGCTGATATAGCTTACTTCTTGAAATATCAGGATTTACTTGTTAATACTTGGTGGTTTTTATGTAAAAATTCAGAGCCCGATATCTTAAAATTGATATACATTGACATATAGCGTAGTGAAACAGTTGCTCAAGAAATAGTTGTCTCTTTAAAATCCATTGTTAAATAAGCGTAGCCGGAAATATAATCACACTGGATTTATATATGTGTACTTAAGTTTAGGGATTTTACATATTAGTTGATATACTCTACTAATACGACCTTTGGAACTCTTAGTGCCGATTTCACAGTCGTAACTTAAGTCTTATTACTGTCTAAATACAAACTAAGTCAGACAAGTTAATGACTTAAGCTTGATTTAAATCAATATTGAAACTTAAGTTACAACTGTGAATCAGCCCTTAATCGTAGTAATTTATTAGACTAGATGATTCATTCAAGCACTTTTTTTTGTTTGAAATTTAAATGTTTGAAATTATACAAACTTATCATTTTTTATGATAACAATAAGTATAAGAAGTTGACATGAAGTTGACTTACAAGTTTACATGAATTAGTAAATACTCTTCTAACTCGAAATTATGTTTCATTCAAGCATTTTTTTATTATGCTATTTATTATACAAACCGTTATATTACTCAATAATAATAATATTATAAAAACTTTTATCAATTGACTACAAAGTCATATATATATATTAAATATATTAAAATATATATTTTAAATACATATGTATACTACAAAATTTTAAAGAAAGTAAATATATACGACACTGTCAATCTCACCATTTAAGTAAGCCATTATGTTATATTATTACTCTATTTTATTTGCATAGCAAATCTATACCAAAACTTCATAACAATTAATAATTTTAATTAATTTTATTTGTCTTACAGGCTATTATCAACCTGCTGGCCCATTGATCTCACCGCACGTATTACCACCAGTTGCAGTTGCACCACCCTTACCGCCACCCCCTAATGTGCCACATTTATCAAGCAGCTCCACTAAGAAACAACAAATACCTACACCACTTGGTTCCGATCCGGAACATTTACCACCACAATCAGGAACAAGTGCAGATAGTGCAGATGGTGATGTACTTATAACAGGCGGAGATTTGACACCATTCCGTTATCCTCCACCACAAAGCGGAAGTTCGAGTGGTACAACTACCACTTCGCATCATCAAACATCAGCAGCACAATCCCAACATCAACAACAACAATGCGACAACCTTTTGCGTTACTTTCAAGTAAATTAAATCAAAAAATTTCTTTTTTAAAAACTTTATTTTTATTTTATTTTTTTATATTATTTAAAGGGTTCGCAACGTCCTATGCATGCGCAAATGCACTATTCAACAGCATATCCGCCTAACTATTACTCACCATATCCGGGTGAGGCGATGTGCTACTCTCCGCCTGCTTATCAAACCTATTTCCCAAGTAAAGTTTATCAGAGTGCACCGCCACCACCACCTCCTTCAGCATATCGGCGTTATACATTTTATCAACCCGGACCACCGCATCCGCCTTCCGTTGAATTATACGACCAAGCACCCCCTCCTCCCTCGGCTAGTAGTGGTCAGGCCGGCCCTCCACCAACACAGCCACCACCACCACCTACAGGGACACAGCTAGTACCGGCTGGACCGGCTGCACATACACAGCATTTGGAGCATTATCCAGGACCGCCGGGTTATTATACCAGCTATAGTCCTGGAGGCGGTGCTACAGGACAGTGTTATACTAGAAGTATACAGGGACCTTATATGGGTAAGGAAAAGTATGGTTCTTAAAAAAAATCACCATTCATAATATACTTGTCAATACAATCTCAACGTATTAACTTTACATTAACTTTGTTATGTGTAATTTTTTTTTTCTGAATAGTTCATTTTATAATTTATTTTATATTGTAAAACAAACTTCTACGTCATTTCCATTTTTAATAATTAATTATAATATATAGAATTTTGAATTTTATCATATAATTTTTCGTGTTTTCTTTTAATAAAATAAAGAATATCCTCAATGTCCATGCCCAATGCCACAATCGTGTCCAAAAAACGTCAATACTGGGCCTCATACTGGTAGCAACAAGAGCGGCAACAACCTCAGCAGCAGCAACAACGGCAGTGCGCTGACGAGCAACGAAAAGAACAACAGCAACAACAAGATTATGAACATCAGCAAAATGAGCAACAACAACAACAATACTTCAATGAATCAGAAGAACGTCAACGACCAGCTCAACAATATAATTGTGAATGGCAACAGCAAGAAGATCAGCAATACAATTACGATTAATAATAATAGCAGCAACCATCAAAATTGTTCGTCAAATGTCAACAACAACACCAACAACAATGGCATAAGCAATGACATTACGTTGAGTACCGGTAGAGGCCCAGTTAAAAATATAATCCCATCTGCAGTAACGAATACAATAGCTACAACACAAGCTACATTAAATATTGAGCAGCTGAAACAGCATGACAACACAATTGAAGTGCTCGACGAGCACCATTTGGACTTACTGCAATCCGTGAAATCTGAACTGAACACAGATGATTCAGATAATAAAAGCCAATATGAAGAGAACGTGGTACAGCCACCGACACCGCCTGAAAGTTATGGCACTAATGATGAAAAACTTTTAGAGCCCTTTGAAAAGGATGTTGTAACGACAATTTCATTAGAAGAACGCTTGGAAGAGGCTATAGATAAATTGCCAATAGGCAATAAAAATACTGATAATATAACAGGCAATATTGAGGCTTATGATCTAACAACAACAACTAGAACGACAACTTTAACAGCGACAACAGCACCTCCAACTGTGACAGCAAACCCTATGCCAATAGTCCAGCAACAATTACCGCTTATAGGACGTAAAGCACGCATTGGCAAATCAATGGCCAGAGAAATGGTCTATGCTGGAGTTGCTGCACAGCAGCCAGCACTGCATGTACGTGCATTAGCAAATCAACATTCTGCTGCAGCAGCATCTACACCAAATGTTGTGAGCACATATGCACGTTCAACAAATCCACCAAACCTGACACAAGTGCCGATTTTATCTGCTAGTCAAACTCAAGCTGCAACCAAATGTAATGCTGGAAATGCTAGTCCCCTAACAACCTCACAAGCGCCTCTAGTATTAAAAGCTGAAATAAAAACTGAGAAAATCAAAATAGAAGAAGAAGACCTAGAAGCAATACTACAACAACCAATACAGTTAACTCAGAATGCGCCAGAACTAAAGATCAAGGAAGAACCAATTACTGACAGTGAAGTTACAAATGCCAGTGAACAAACAGTTACAAAAAATGGACTCTCTGAGTGTGTATTGCAGACAAACAGCTCTTCAGAGGAAGTAGTTCCAACAATTGTTCCCAGACCAGCAGGTATATATACATATTTTTTTAATTTCATTTATGGTATATAATTTATTATTATAATATTAACAACTTTCTATAATTTAGGTCGCATGCGCTTACTGCCAAGCTTGCAGCATCCCCCAACAATAAATTGTGACGTTGATCTCTCTACCACATCTGATGATGATGTGTTAGATTTGTGTCATAGCCCTTTGAATTCAATCGGCAATGGTCACAAGCGTATAAAAATATTGGAATTCAATAAAAATCAATGTAAGAAGTCTCCACCTAACAGCTATAAGAACCTTATCAAACAAGCTAAACCCAGAACTTACCTCTGTCTAAGCCGCAAAGCAGATAAACGCCATCGATATGGCAAATTACAAGGCAGGTTTTCGAAAACTAGCTCAGGGAATATCAATGTTAAACGAAGACAACTAATACTAACTGAACAACAGAAACAGAGGTTATTATTGCGTAAGAAAAAATTAAAGGCACTAGAGAGATGCAAAGAAGAAGCGAGAGAGAAGAAACGAGAAGCTGCAAGACAAAAACGTTTGGAACGTAAGAAAGCTACTGAAGCAGCATTACAGGCTGTTGTCAAAGAGGAAATTGCAGAAGAAGTTGAAACTGACAGTGATGTCATAATTAATCTGACAACGGAACATGTAGATAGGGCTATTAATCAAGGATCAGTTGAAAATGTTGCACCGACGCTGTCCATTTCACAACAACTTAAACTGAAATGCCTATCACAGCAGTCACCCACAACATCACCAAAACGCTCAAAACTAAAAAAACCTATTGTACAGTCACATGTGAACGATACTATAGATGCTGTAGCACGAGGTTATTTTTCAGAACCTGAAACAAGAGTCATCAATAATAGTAGAATTTGCACTGCTGACGATTATGGCGATGATACGAAAGTTGCAACTGAACGCAAGCAGAAGAAAACCAAAAAATCAAACACAGAGAAACGTTCCAAATCGGAAACTAAGAAACCACTTAAGAAAAGACTAATTGCCGCTGAATTAATTGGATTTGAAATTTCAAAGATGCAGCAAACACCTAATGGTATTCACGACTCTGCAGGTGTAGGGAACATCGATGTACAATTGAACAACTCTCACGTTGGATTCGGGACAAAAAGCACAGACGGCAGTTCAATAGATTCAATAAATTGCTTGGAATCAAAGAAAAAACAAACAAAAACTGTCTCAAAGTCAAAACAAATAACAAAAGTAAAAGCAACCAAAATCAAAAATGAAACAAAATCAAAAAAATTAGGTTTGAATAATACGTCAACAAGCACAAAATCAAGAAAATTAAAAAAGCAAACGAATAAAAAATCAAAAAATTCGAATGTTGTTCAGTTGAAAGAGACAGCACTATCACCACTCTCACCACCATCACCAGTGATAACCAATATCAATTCCACATACACTAATTCACAATTATCCAGTACAGATGTTAGTAATATTGTACATGACAATACTGAGAGTTCTTCCACTCCCGATTTGGTAATGACAAATGCAGAAGATATGCAATTGCATGAAACGAATAACAATGAATATGTAAAAACACCCACTATTGAACAACAAGCTAAAAACCAAGATAATAATTTGGCATTGGAAGAAGAAGCTGAAATGGAACAGGTACCCGAAAATAGGCTTGATGTGGATACACCATCTACAACCCCAAAACCAAATGTAGATGTTGTGTCAACGCATGCAGTCATTTCCACGACAACAACAGCAGCAACAGCACCACAACTCTCTTTACATTCCGATACATCTGTATTCCTACCACCTGCGCCACCCATGACAAGAGTAATTTGTCAGCATGTTGCAACAAAGCGATCACGTTCACGTTCCAAATTCGGTGTACGTAAACGCCCGAAACTGAGGCATTCCACAGTTTCATTTGAATTAGATGATACCCTACCACCGGCAACGCGCGGTGATGTTGTACCTAAATGGAATAATGGTTGGACTTGGGAAGGTGAACCCTTTCAGGGTGCTGTGTTTTTAAATGTAAATTATAATTTATAAACTATAGTATTTGTGTTAATGTAAATTATTTATCATTTTTATAGAGTGATGATCCACATGTTATCCGCACTTGTTATCCTGCTATGCGTCATTCTGAAGGTGATATCATACGTACCAGAGACTGTGTATTGCTTAAAGCAAATGAAGAAAATGAATTGCCATATGTGGCTAAGGTAGCACATTTATGGGAGAATCCAGAAGATGGTTAGTATTAATTATTGACTATTCTATAAAATATTTTAATAAAAATATTTGTTTTAATATAGGCGAAATGATGATGTCTCTGTTATGGTACTATCGACCGGAACATACTGAACAAGGTCGTCAATATAATGATAGCCCTGAAGAAGTATATGCTTCACGACATCGTGATCATAACTCAGTTGCATGCATTGAAGATAAATGTTACGTACTTACATTTAGCGAATACTGCAGGTACGTAACTGATTGATTAATTATTTTCATAAAATTTAAGATATTTATATAAAACTAATAATGTGATATTTTATTTCTTAATAGTATTATATTATTACTTTTATTAGGCCCATGTTATCTAGTGTCACGGGCACGTCAAAGTAAAAACTGTTGTTGCTTTCAAAGCAACAATTCAGTGTGAGAGAAAAAAGCAGACTCTGTATAACATGCATTTTCGATATAACACGAAAGTGTCAATTTTGACGTGTCCGCGACACTCTACTTAACATTAAATAAATAGTTTAAATATGATAGTTATAGTTATGACAGTAGTGAGTATTTTACTTAATAAAAATTATTGTATTTAATACAGAGGTTTCAAATAGTAGAGAATTGCAAGAACACAAATTTTTCTTTATTTTTTATTTATTGAATTTTTGACTGACGATACAGCTGTTTCAAGTATTACTAAATACCCATCATCTGACCCTATGCTTCAAATTTGGCAGGGTAGGAGATATTTACTGTCCCAAAAAATTATGTACGAATAATTAAATATAACATAAGAAATAATTCCAATAATAATAATAATAATTATGATGGGTATTTGGGAAGACATGAAACAGCTTTATCGTCGGCCAAACATCCAAATAACAAAAAAAAAAATTTTAAATTTTTGTTGTTGCAATTCACTACTGTTCGAAATCTCTCTAAAGATAATGCAGCCCGATCATTTCTAAAATCAGTAGAAATTTAAGTTAAAAACCCATTTACTTCGTTATATTTACTATTTTTTTTTAAAGCTCTTTACTATAAACTAAAATTACTTAACTATTACGTTAAGTTCAAAGTTTTATAGAAAAAATAAAATACTATTAAAATTAAATAGTGTTGACTATTTATCCATGCAAATCATTTTGATAAATATGCAAAATAATGTGTACAATTTCCCTTTCAGTAATAGCAAGAAATCTGCTGCCTGCCTTAAATAGCAAGAACTTGCTTGAAGTATAATCATAGACGAAATAGTTAACTCTCTTAGATAAACTTTTTGATATATTAGGTATATTAAGTAACTTAATTAAAATTCTATGACCCGAAGCCACCGTTTACCACCCCTAAAGGGATTTTACAAGCAGATCTAAGCAGATAATTGTTATGAACATCAACAACATGGTATCATATCGCTCAGCCATCCATTCTAACAAAATATGATTTAAAGTTTAATTGATTTAGATAACGTCTTAATATCTAACTGTACGAAAACTGTTATAAAAACTGATTTTAATACTTAATTTTAATCAAGTGTGGCATGGTTTTGTGTATAGGAAATATTTCTTATATAAAATTAATATTATAAACATTATTCTGTAATAATTTAGTAGTTCTTGTTATTATAAGAATATATAATTTTTATTAAACTGTATAGATTTATAAATAAATGTAAACTATATATAACATATGAACTATGTATATAAAATATATAAACTATATATATATATAAAACATATAAACTATATATATAAACTATCTAAATAAATATAGAACTACATAATACACTTATATTAAACGTTTTTTAAACTAACTAATATTGAATAAAAATGAATTTTAATTCTAGGTACCGTCGTCGATTACGTGCCACTGAAGAGGAAATGGAAGATATATCAATTGTACCAAAACGCCCAAATTATTACAGTACACCAACGGTGCCTGACAACACCAGTCCGGAATTAGTTATGTTCTGTCGTCGGGCCTATGAGTTTCGTATGAAACGGCTGCTAAAAACACCTAGCAAACAAGATTATATTGTAGTCAGAACCTAAGAAAATCACTACTATCTTCTCTATAAAATATAATAGGAAGATTAAGATATAATAGGAATTAAGAAAATAACAACTATTATAGAAAATCCTTAAATAATCACCTAATTTAAAAGGTGTTAAGTTATTAAATTAAAAAATATAAAAAACAATTCTAACAAGTACACAAGTATATACACAAAGAAAATTAAGTATTGAATTTTGATTATAATAAAAAATTGTTTCAGCATTTTTATATATAAAGAATTATGTATATATGTATAAATATGCATATGTATTTATATATATATATCATATATATTTTATACGATAATATTTAAAACACACAAAAGGGAAATATTTATTATGTTAAATAATTAGTTTTACTTATGGATTTTGTTATATTTGTTTTTACTCTTTTTTTTTGCATGAATATGCTGCAAATAATACATTTTTAAAATTAAGTTTTTAGATTATATACTAAAACAAAATACAGTATATAAAACTATTTTAGACTTAAAGAAACATATATATTAAATAAAAAGTCGTATTAGAAAAATATACTAAGCACATAACAAAATTAACCAAAAATAAAAGAAAATTTTTAGGCATATTTTTAAGACATTTAAACAAAATACAGCAAAAATTAAAAAATTAGTTAAATGACAAATAAGAATTTTAGTAAGTAATATTATTTAAGCAAAACAAACAAACAAACATTTTTGAAGGAATTTACATATAAAACTAAACATAAACTGAATTTATTAAACTGAAAAAATGAAAAAGAAAATCACAGAAGACCAAAATTTTCGCTTCATAAATTTAAAAATATTTAAAAACAACAATAGAACTGAATAAGGATCAAAATTTCGAAAAAAAAAAAGAAAATAAAACATAAGAATTATGTATATAATTAACATTGATAACTAATATACAATTATTTGATGTTAATTAAATTTATAGATAATTAATTAAAAAGAAAAATAATTTAAATGCATATTTTTTAAATGCAGTCATTTAAGTTACACTCAATATTATTAAATAATATTTTAAAATTTACTTTTTAATCCAAAAAATCTCTTATAAAAAACTAAAAGTTGTTATATATTTTAATATTTATTTAAAAAGAAATATATATATAATTTCATGTATATATATATATATTACAATGCACACGTAAAGTATTCGTTTGAAGCACATATTTAAACAATTTCAACCAAACATAAGAAAATTATAAATTTTGTTTTAAATTATTATACATTATAAATTATTTAAATATTAAAATTGTTGCTAAAAAATGAATATTGTTTTCCTTTGCTTTATATAACTTTATTTTATATAATTTCAATGTGGAAATTTAATTTCTATAGATTTTTATATAAATATACACATAACTGCATATTTGTATATGCACATACGTACAACATACATGTTTAAATATAAATAAATTTATATTGTTTTATAAATAAATTAATGAATACATTTATAATGTAGATAATTTTTTTTTTTTTTTGTTTAGTTTTGTACTATTAATTTTTTTAGTTATTGTACCAAATACATTTCATAAAATATAGTGGAGATGCTAAAAAATTTGTTTTTATTTTTATTTTAGTTTTTAATAAGGGATGTAAATGTAAATAAATATATATACATATGTGTATAATTTCTTTTTTTGTTTCGCTTGTTAAAAATCTGCTTATGCCAAAATATATAAAATTATATAAATAAATATATAATTTAAAATTTAAAAACCTCCTTTTGGAAGCACCGCTCAACATTAATTAACATTCCATGTGCTTTTGTTTCAATCCCTAATATATTTTTACAGGGTATTCGTTTTCTTTCAAAATTATATTATTTATTAATTTATTAAAATGTTTAATACACTTTTAATTTACTTTATGTTCAATAAAGTAATTTTTATTGACTTTTATATAAAAAGAATTATATACACTACGTTAAAATTTTATAAACAAATCTCTTAATAATATCCTAAATACATAGAACTGTAACTTACCATTCAATCATAGCTTTCACTGTACTAAAATTAGTCTTTATTGATTGTACTCTGAGATATGTTGTAAGATATTAACATAAATCAAAAGATGGTATATGATAAGCTGACTTTGATTCAAAGACTTTCCATATAATTTCTTTTTATTTAATCTTATAAAAAAATATACCGAAAATAGATGAGAAACTCACAAAACAGTACATCTACGGACTAAATCGTAACCCCATGTCCCTGCTAATTTTTTTTCATCGTATTCATCGCACCACAGTTGTTGCATAATAGCTGTGATAAACTGATTTACTTGCTAGAGAGATAGTTGGTTTAAATAATTCCTTTAAGACCTAATAAAATTTATAAATTAATTTCTTCATAGTGACGTTATTCATTCATATATTAAAAGTTAAATGTTACAGATTAACACTTTAATAAATCTCAGATCATGTCATTTATTCAATTATGTTTCTATCAAAATATTCAAAAATAATTTGAAAATATGTATTCCTAACCTAACAATGAAAGTCTATGGCATAATCACAGTTAATGAAGGTAATTAAATAGGTTGAACTGGTAGGCATCAAAATGTCAGCATAGATTGAACATAGTCGATATCTGGTCGGCATTAAGCGCTATCACCATAAATCGAACTAGTTGGCAGTATAAAATGAGCTGGTCAGTGGCATCTTACCACAATAGATTAAATTGATTGGCATTAAGATCTTAGCACAGCTTGAAATTATTAGCATCAAGATGCCGCCACAGATTGAACTGGTTGACATCACGATGCCGCCATAAATTAAACTAATTGCTGCTCTATTAAGAGGTGCGTCTCCATACTGTTATCGAGTTAGTTTGTTATCAACACAGTTCCGTAACTGTAGTCAGCTACTGTAGCCAGCGGCTGTAGTCAACATCTGCAGACAGCGACTGTAGTCAGCTACTGTAGACAGCTACTGTAGTCAGTTACTGTAGACAGCGATTGTACATTGGGTTAGGTGTTGACAAAATAGAACAACTGAGTTCAGCCTTTTGAATATATCTCTCTCGGTAGTTGATTAAAAATAAGGGTAGCTGATTTCAAGTTCAAAAAATTGAAAAGCTACGTACTGATTTAAATGTCTTTATAATTTCGCTAACTCTTATCTAATTATATAGAATCCAATAATAAATATATTGGTATTGTTTTATTTAACAAATTGACTTCATTCATTCAAAAATAATGTGTGGTGGCTAGAAACATTCGGTTCCGGAAAGTAACAAAAACATAGTTTGAAATTAAATACCCAGTAGTGAAATTTATAAATAATGCATCTGCTTCTTGTGTACCAATTTTTTTTGTTATGTTCTTTAAACATTCTTTTCAATGATGATTTTATTTATATTAAAAATTTTAGTTCATATATTCCTATTTTACAAAAAAAAAAACTTGTTATAAAAACCTAAAGGAAAAACTGAAAGTGGCATAGTGGTACTATTATCAATCTATTCAACATAAAGAATAGAAGCATATATACATATATACTTGTCTATAAAAATATATAGACGTATTTATATGATATTATAAACATACTGAAAATATGTTTAAGAAAATTATAATTTAAAAATTTGGTGACTATTGTCCCATTAAACTAAATTTAAGTTTGTTATGTATGTAATGACTATGAATAATTATTAACAAGAGGACAAGTATATAAAATATTAGCAGTCATTTTTACTAAAAATGCATGACAGGAAGCAACATATTGCACTTTTCACTAATTACGCTGAGTAATGTAATTACTTTGTATGCATTACTTCAACAAATGAAAGCTCAGTTGGAATTAAAATGCATAGAATTCAATTAATTAATTAAAAATTGTATAACATAATTCAGCTAAATTAAGCTCAACAATATATCATAAAATATTAATTAATTATGAGCAAAAAGTGTGTCAAAATTATAAAAATTCAAAATGGCGACGTGCAGTAGAATAATCTGAGAGAGAAAAAAATCAAAGAGAATTTAAATACTCTTTGCACAAAAATTACAAATTATATACTGCATAAGGGAATAGTAAAATAAAATCATTATTAAAACCAAAAATAATTATATATAATAATATATAATAATAACTGAAAGAATAAACAAATTACAATAAAAAAATATAATTCAATTAATTTTATTATTAAAGATGTGTAAAAATATTAAACACAAGAGAAATTATATTTCTATTATTACAAAAAAAAAGCAAGAAATAAATAAATCAAATCCAAAAAATTATAATGGAAAAAATGTTAGCATTAGTATGTAATTTGAAATAATTATAATGTATATGTAATTAAAAGTAAAAGTATATAAACAAATAAACAAGTGACAAAATAAAATGAAATCAACAATAACAAAAAAAAAATATACAATAAACAAACGCTGAAAGAATAATATATATATATATATAAATAAATATATAAAAAAAGGAAAAAGCCTCAAAATGTTATTATTGACAATTATTATTGATTAAAATTATTAATGACTATTATTATTATTATCATTATTATTATTGCAATTATTATTACTGTATGAACATTGTTTAAATTGAAATTCTATTTAAAAAAGAAAGAAAAAACGAGATACGTAACTAAATAAAAACCAATTACAGTTAAAATATATTTAACAATATTTATGTTCATTATTGTAATGACACAAGTAAAATTCGTTATTTATAACAAAATTATAATAAATTTTAAAGTCTAACAGAAAGAAAATAAAAAATAAACACAAAATGGGGTAAAAATAAAAGCAAATTACATTAAATTTGTGTAACAAATTATTTAAACTTTATTTGATAAGTTGCATTATTCAAAAATGTCACAGAAACTCATAATGTGCAAAAATCAATAAAGGAAAAAAATATTTATTAGTCAAAACTAAAACAAACAAATCAATGGTTTTAATTTATTTGAAAATATTTAGCTTATAATTTAATATACTATATAAATAATATAAAGCAGTTAAGCTTTTCGTTTGCGCCAAAAATGTTTATTAGCATTGAAAATATATTTTTTTTCCGGGTAGTTGGAAAACATCGAAAACCACAGTATGAGATTTGAACCCACTAAAACCAAGTATTGGAAATGCAAACTGAACACACTTCAGCCATTGGATTGTGATAGCCAAAAGTTGAAACCCCATTCCAGAAATCCGAGGAAACGCAGACATTAGAATACAAAAGCTTTGTATTTAAACAACAAATACATCCAATAAAATCGTAAACAAATGAGGGAGAGGGGGGGAGTATATTCTTGCTAGATAGCACTTACTGACTAAAAGTAAACTCTATGCAAAGTGTGATTAAGCAGATCAGTAGGAAATTAATGTGGATGATTAATATGAAAATTAATGTGCTATTTTAAAAATAAATTAATATGTATTCGACATTAAGAAATGTCCAGTTTAATGAACAACAATATTCGCATTATCGGAATGACAATGATTTAACGAATACCACAGGTACATTAAAATTTCTAATATACCCCAGCATAATGCTGTGGAACACTTAAGACCTCTATACTTATGGCTCCCAAAAATAATGTATGTTACACCAAAATCGGGATTTTAGAAAAAGAAGCATATAGAAACTCAATGAAGGAGATGAAGACACAAACAAATTAAAAAATAATAATTTTAATACACAAATGTTCGATTTAATAAATTTTTTGGTTTAATAAATGGGCTGTGCAAAAATCTTTTCATCAAATAAGACGTCTGCTGGATTTGAAAAAGCCTACGAATTTCCTGTTCTCCTTTAAGTTCCATGCTTATGAAAGAGCTTAGTAGCGTGTTATATATATACATTATTCGTTGCGGTATGATATTTTGTTAGATCTTGTTTTTGTGTATTACTGAGCTTAACATTTGTCCAAGCAAAGGTTGCAATTGAACAACTTATGGACTAATCGATATTCCTCGTTTTCTATTTGCTCTTATTATATTCATTGCAAGTTGTTTTAAGACTCCTTGTTTTCGCGTCACTTGACCAATGTGATTTAGATATGGACACTATTTTCATGTTGTTTTAAAACTCCTTGTTTTCGCGTCACTTGACCAATGTGATTTAGATATGGACACTATTTTCATGTTTGATTTTTACTTTTAGTTCTAAAAACATAGAGATGTTGGTTGTGTGAACAGTTCATGAAATTCTTAACACTCTTCAACGGTCCCCTAATTAAAGACTTCGATCGCCTGTTCATCTAATTTTTTGTTATTGCATTAAGACTCAGTAAGACAATTACAATATAATTTGATAAGTTAATTCAGCTCAGAAAAGCTCTAAATCCGTTAATAGTACACAATTGAGGATTGCAATACCAGGTTCTCCTTAACTTAATAATAAACTCTACAAAATATATTTATATTATGCTATATAAATAAATCAAATCAAGAAATATGTATATTAGCAAGCGATAATTCTCTTTGAATTAAAAACGGTTTTATAGAACTGAAGCTGCGGTTCCAACTGCAGTAGTGCATTATATTAAGTATTAGTACTCTCAGTTCGAAATTTTCTAAACGTAGAAAAGTCTATTAAAATATCGCTAATTTATATAGAAAGATATGCTGTAGTTTTCTATCTTTACAACTTAAATGATTATATCATTTTATGCAGTCAATGTAAACAACCTGCAAATACAAATGAACAAATAAGGGGTTGATGTCATGACGTAGAGAAGCACACTTGTTGAGTAACTCATAAACGAAATAGTATAAGAATTTCAAATTTTACATATATATCTATATATAATTATGTTAAATATTGTTTCTATTCAATTAGATAAAAGTAAGATATAATCAATATACAATGTAACATTTTATTTTGATAAAGATTAAATTTTATTTAATTTAAATTCCGCCGAAGAGTTTGCTATTGCATTCTATCTATTGGAATGCTAGACTAAAAACAAACTTTCCAAAAGAAACACATAACCAAAACAAAAAACAGCTGTTTTGCAAATGAGTCTTGCTTCATTCATATTTATATAAAAATGTTGCCACCTGAATGAAACCAAAATCATAATTATTGACTTATTGCCATAAATTGAAGTACTGCATGGATGTCTACCATTTATCTAATGGTATTAGGTCTGTTCCACGGGCTACTCGTGGTAAAACTTAAGTAAAAGACAAGTAAAATTTACACGAAAATACACGAAAATTTACTGATGAAACGCACTTGTGTATACATAATGTTACTCAAAGTTACTACGATTAGCTCGTAGAACAGGCCTATTAATTTATGGTAATGCTAACAAATGGCAATAATTGTACTAAATGCATTACATCAAAGATAAATATAAATAAAATGTTTTGTATGAAAAAAAAAACAGATATATTAATCTTTTCATTAAAAAAATGTTTGTGATAATTTAGAATATAAATTTATAGTATTACTAATTATTACAACTATTTTGTTCTTGATTGACGATTACTGAATTCTTATGTAATATGTAATAATAAATAAAACAATAAAATAATTAATGATACTAAAACAATGGTACCGTACGTTGCGGTAAATTTAGTATTCTTTGTGGTACCAAATATTAAAATTCTTTAAATCACTCTTATACCGCATTTACACTAGCCGAAAATGGCACATTTTTGTCAAAAATCGAAAATGAGAGGCGAATGGCTCATTCGCGCTTGAAATTTTGTATGCAAGAATGAGCCATTCGCATCACATTCTATATGAATGCGTTCCAACGCAGTTCGCATGCGTTCCAAATATGTTCCAAACGCAAAGGAATACATTGAACATACCCTAAATATAAGTTCTTCATGGCATTTTGACAGTTTGAGAAAACTGTTTTTGACATATTTACAAAAAAAGGTGAACAAATGTTTGGTCGTTGCATTTTCTTGAAAACGATGCACCTCTTCTTAGAACTCCTACTTCCCAAAAAGTACTTAATCGAAGTTAGAAATATGTTTTCAGTATATATTTTAAGGTTTGAAGGTATATTTAACCTTCATGCAACATTTTTTGGCACAGGCCAAAAAGCAAATCAACAGACAAGTTGAAAAATCAGCTGTTTGAAATGAGAACGAATGAAATATAACGAATGTAAACAGTTTCATTCAAAGTGAGTCATTTTCGGCCAATGTAAAAGCCATATTATAGTTCGTTCAAAGTATACCATTAATTGCATTCAAATGTATATATTCTAATACATTGCATTAAATAGGATATGAATGCCAATAAACTCAATGGTATTGTTTACGATTTACTGAAATACTAGCTTTATTACCATTTAGACGTATTGTTTAATGAAATTAAATAGAATTTTATTAAAATAATACACTGAACACACTCAATAAAAGTTTTAAATAGACTTAAATAATATTAAATGCCGCTTTTTATATTTTCAATATATGTTTACGTAAATTTTCAAAATGTAAACAAAACGATAAAGTTCTGTTAATATCAGTTTACGAAAATGAAAAACTTAACGAACTATTTGTGTTAATTACAGTATTATTTATTGCAACAAATCAATGCCAGCTATAAAATTATATAGTGATTAGTAGCAAATTAAAACAAAAAATTGTTGCAACGTGCAGCATTATCATTTATAAGAAGTATAATCTAAGAAAAAGAATTAATATAAAATTAGTATTTTTTGTGTAAACAGTAAACAGTTTTTTTGTGTAAACAAACACATATCATAATCAAATTTACAAGAACTTGTGTGTAGGCCATTAAGAGCTGAGATCACAGTCATAATTTAAGCCACAATATTGACTTTATTGCTAAGTTATGGTGTTTCTGATTGATAAATCTGATTTAAAGGTAGATTCATTTTCGATCTTTCAAATTTTGTTGCCCAATCGAACATTTTTACAAGAATTTAACATTTTTGTAGTAGTGTGAATAGACATTTATATATTTCATAAATGCATATATCGAATCAAATCACCATTTATTTGATAAGTCATATAATACAGCTGTTAATTTCAGGGTAAACTTGATACTCTGGCAAAATATCTAGAATGTTATAAATTAAACTCGAGTATTAAAGTTTTTCCTCGGGATTTATCAATAGAAAATGAATATTAAGAGTGAATCTCGATTGAATAAATTACCCCAGATCTATCATCTGATAGAGTATTGCTATTGTAATGCTATTAATTCTTATTCAAAATCAGTTTTAAGACTTAAGTTACGATTACTCTAGTTACTCTTATTAATGTAACTATAGTTTTTCTTATAGTACTTCTTATAGTATTCTTTATTATGTATGTATGTAAATAGTATGTGATTAAATATGAATCAGTTACAAGTTATAATTATAAAATATGGCAACACCACACATTTGAGAGAGAATTGACATAATAAATTTGCAGTTGTTGGTGATAAAAGCGAAAATATTTTGATTCATAGGGCATTTAAAAAAAGTAAACATTAATAAATTGTTTAAAGTCTACAATGGTAGACAAATTTTCCTATCAACTTGCCGTGCAAAGTTTGGCAAGAGTTCTAGCACGAATTAAACCAACGCCTTGGGAAAAGGTAATTGCTAAATTGTGAGATATGAAGAAATCGACTTTTCAACAAAAAAAAATTTTTTTTTTGCAATTACTCATAGGTGCAAACTTTATTTCGTTATTGCCCACAAGAAAATGCCGTTGGTATTTTTTGTTTGGATACGAGAGCACAAGATGCTGTAATTGCACTTGGCTTGTACTTTTTGGAAAGTGGATGTCAACATGAGGATCGCATTGTACCGTATTTGTTACGTTTAGCTAAGTGCTTGCCCAAGGCAGTTTGGGTGGATGACTCAAAATGGAGCAAAACCGATCGTAAGTTATGCAGTTGAAAGAAATTGTGTCTAATACTTGATTTATATAGATTTAACATTCCGTTACGTTTTTGAGTGATTTTTGTTTATTTAGCAAAGAAAATTCGTCAAGTGAAAAATTTACATGCGTTACCGAATCTCATGTTTAGTTTCTACAGAATAAAAAAGTACAACCCAATAAAGAAAGATAAATCTAAGTATACTTTTGTTATTGTAGCCTTTACAGCTCTAGAAAACTGATAACATAAAGGCCATATACATGAGATAGGATGTAGTGATCATTTAAGAAGAGATTTGTATTTTTTAGGTAACTCATTACACAAGCACCACTATCTGTGGAATAGTAATTCCAATTTTGAGATAAGTTTTCTTGGTCTGATAAAACGTGAATTAGTGTGTAAAGCACTTTTACTCAATAGCGTCTATGACCACTTAGATAATCCATTGTAATAAGAGCTATGTTATATTCTGATAGGTTATTCAGATGATTTTATAGAAGTATACTTTGAGGCCCAGCATATCTTTCTGACAGAATATATATTGTGTTTGGTTTGAGAGAGTACAATACTGAATTAGTGTTCACAAGATCAAACAAAGTTATAAACTTTTTATTAAAGTTTAATAAAAGAATCAATATTATAGAAACAAAGTAATTGAATACTTTTATGTTATAAATTATGAACCAATTTTTTAATGGTTCGTTCCAAATGAAGCACAGCATCAAGTTGTTGTTTTGGTGGTAACTCGTAGAGATTTGCTGTTATGGTAACATTTGAAGATTATGTTTTAAAATGTAAAGAACCTTATCTTAACTCGAAGTACCATTTTGCAAAGAAATGGTTCGACTAATGGAGATTTCGAGTTCTTTAACTCGGAGTCTCCTTAAATTGCTCTCTAAACCCTTTTGCACTCTATTTAGTTTGAGTTATAAAAAATTGGTAGTATAGAAGTTCGAGTTATAGAAATGTGAGTTATAGAAGTGCTAGTTATAGTAGTTTAACTACACTTACAAATATATAAGTTTTTTTTTGGATTTTTTTTTTGTATAATGCTTTAATAAAATAAATCTAAAAATATATATTTTGCTTTTTACAGGCATACCATCAGCAGAAAAATTTAGTTTCTGTTTAAACACACTTCTCTCAGATATTGCAACAAAATGTCCTGACCTACGTGAGGATATAATATTGAATCAAGTGGAAACTTTAAGCGCTTTAGCAAACATAATAAAATCCAGTAAAGAAAGTAGCTCTGCGCCACCACCAATTATATTATGCAAAGCTACGGTACCATTACTGTTTGGTTTAGCTCGTTCGATGGGTCGTTATGCCAGCAATGATCCGCCACTACTCTGTCGCATATTTCCCAGAGAAGAGATGCCCGTTATCAAACAAAACATACGTGATGGAGGCAGTTTTAGCTCAAGTGAACGTATTGCTTGCTTTACACAATTTCGTCCAATTATACCACGTTCTATGTCCGGTAGTCTTAGTCAAGATTCAACAGATTTACGCCTACGGCAAATACAAAATATAGCAGCCAACAAACAACGGCCACAATTGCTAACTTATTTCTCTGTGCCCTATGATCCACGTACATATTTCTTCACCAAATATGGTTCCAGTTTTAATCAATTTCCAAATATGCGCGTTTGCGATACACCAACAAAATCAAAGAGCCTAACTAATGGTAATATGGCAATATTTCCCATACAACATTTGCAGACGATTTTTGCTGTTGCCAAGAAGTTACTAACCAAAGAGACACTCGAACATTTGGACGAGCAAGCCAGTGATATATTTGCTTTGCATCAGATTAAAGGTTATTGCTATAAAAGTTTCTCGGAAACTTTAAATTTAGTTTTGGTTACTTTGTTGCGTGAGTTACTGCAACATCAGGTGGATTTGCCTGCACCCTTTACCAAGGATGTACAGGAATTTGTGAAGCGTCTATTTTTGAATGGTCAAACGGAGTTGCAGAATAAGCAGCAAGATCAGGAAAGAGAGAAACGTGAAGAGAATGGCATTCCTGTCGTTAATAAATATAAAGTTAATGTCATGGCTAATGCAGCTTGTGTAGATCTGCTCGTTTGGGCAATACGTGATGAAACTGGTACGTAAATTTGTGATTCTATTTTTGTTTCCGATAACTTTCTATTGAAGATATTTTTAAGTTTTTTTAATTTCTTTTAATATGAATGTTTTTCAGTTGATGAGGAGTACACTGTAACTTCGTTGCAAAATGGTTTACAATATTTTTTGAGTAAAGGTTATATTTATTGTGTACTTTGATTTTATACCATTTGTTTATGTAGTTTAAAGTACCCTTTGAGTGTTTTTGTTTCTTCTTCAAGTGTCCAAAGCTGTGAACCAGAGCTTTGTTTCAATTCTAACTTAAATGAATTATTTTTAAGTTTTTAGATATACTCCAAAAATAATCCAATATGTTTTATAATCATATTATATTGAATGAAACTAATAAAAATCCTTACAAAAGAGTTATTATCATTGCAATAACGTAACATGGACTATAAAACTTCATATATATTCTTATCCCAGTTCTAAGTGATTTTAATGTTTTCAAAATTCATTAACGTGTATTTTAAATGATTACGATTTACATTTTTGTTAAATTTTTATTATTAATAAAACAGTTTTTATTTTATACTAATTTTTCATTTACTTTTGTAGAAGCAGACAAGTTATGCGGACGCCTATCACAGAAACTCAATTCGATTTTGAGTCACAAAATCGTTATGGATCATATGCCATTGCTAATGGTCTGCTTAGAGGGTTTGGGCAAACTGGCACAGAAGTTTCCGAATATTGCTGGTACATCAATTTCTTATTTGCGTGACTTTTTGGTAGATCCAAGTCCAATACTTGGGAAACTACATGCACATTCTCAGCACACACTTGCACTACAAAAGAAAGAAAAAGAGATTACACCATTTAAAATTGTTGTACAAAACAGTGAGTCACGTTCAACTGTTGACATATTTGGTGATCATCAAAAGAATATGGTTCCGCGTTCAGGACAAGCAGCTTTCGAAGCTTTGCGAGATGCTGCAATTGAAAATTTGAGCATAGCCTTACGTTCAGCGCATACCTTAGATCAATTTTGTGTACCAGCACTCGTAGCTAATGTATCTAATCGTTTATTCACAGCAGAAAAACATGAATCGTAAGTTTAATAGCATAAAGCAATATAATTAATTTATTATTTGTTGTATTAGTAAGTAAGCATCCTAAGTAAGTGTCCTTCTTTTTTACAACGTTGTGAACCACTTTAAAATTCCCTTTGTATATCAATTCAAAAACTTTCAGGACTTGAAACAACTAACGTTTCGAACCATTTTAAGATCCTTTTTAAATATCAATCTAAGATATTAGATTGATCATTTTAACATTCTCTTTATAAAATCTAAAAACTTTAAGGACTTAAAATTCCATTTCAAGTTTTTCACACCATTTTTAATTCCACCTTAGAAGGTTGCGTAACTAGTGTTTTTTTTTCGATGCGAGGCTGCTGACTTTGCGAACAATCCCCAACCTGAAGGACCAGCTCCCCTGCAAATCTGGGAAGAAAATTGCTGTTTGATAGCTAGAGAGTTTCTCCTCTGCTAGCTGTTTTCAAGTTATACCGCCTGTGCGCAGTCAGGATACACTACGTGTAGGTGAAGTTGGCTGTTGAGGAGGCTAGGCTGTATATTCGCATCACTGCCCCATTGAGGCACACATTTTCTACCCCTTGTATCTCAATCTAAAAACTTTAAGGATTTAAAATTCCTAAAGTTTTGAACCATTTTAGGATCCTCTTTACTGTTCAATCTAAAATGACATAAAACTCCTTACATTTCGAACCATTTTAATAAATTTTTTTATATATTAATCTTTATAATATCTTTTAGTGAATCTACATTGGTTAGTTTGAATATAATTGTCATGCTTGGACATGTGGCCGTGGCATTGAAAGACACTTCCAAAACCACACAGAATATTTTACAATTCTTCATACAGCGATTCTGCAAAGTGCCATCGGAACAGAATGCTTTAATTGTTGATCAACTTGGCTGCATGATTATATCTCAGTGTGAACCACATGTCTTTGAGGAAATAATGAAAATGTTTTCACGTGTCACAGTGCAATCAGCTTCGCTTGCTTATACATCAGATCCTGAACATCGAAAACAATTTCATCATGTATCTGATGCTGTAGTTAATGCTTTGGGGAATATTGCTGCTAATATACAGGGTGATGCTGAAATGTTGGAATTACTAGGCAAACTGCTTGAACTCTTTGTACAAATCGGCCTAGAGGGCGAGCGCTCCTATGATAACACACCTGGTGCGCAGAAGGCAAGCTCAAGTGCTGGAAATCTTGGTATGCTTATACCAGTGATTGCTGTACTTGTGCGTCGTCTTCCGCCAATCAAAAATCCTCGTATGCGATTGCATAAATTATTTAAAGATTTTTGGGTTTACTGTGTTGTTATGGGATTCTGGGATGCTCGTCTCTGGCCAGCCGATTGGTACCATGGAGTGCAGCAAATAGCAGCAAAGTCACCATTATTAATTTCACAAACGGCACACAAATCAGATATGCGTGAATTAAATTATACTTCAGCAATTAAAAGCGATTCTGTTAGCTTAAATGAGTTACGTACCCAAATTCTTCTATTATTGGAACATCCCACAGCTGATGTTACTGCGGCAATAAACAAACTTACATTTGCGCAATGCACTTATCTTTTGAGTGTTTATTGGTTGGAGACGTTGCGTGTGGAAAACTCTGAAGAACCAAGTTTGGAACCGATTTTAAGTTACCTTTGTGATACTGCTTTGCAAAAAGATAAATCAGGCATCTGGCAATGTGTTAAATGGTATGCGTATATATATACTTATTTTATTGCTTTTACTTTAACATTATTATATTTTATAGTGTTGCTGATCAAGTTTTTGAAAAGTTTCGCAATGTTCTATTTGCGCACGATGAGATACGCGAAAAAGTGCTGGAATCACAAGCTACATTACTACTAGTATACTTCAATCACATACATAAGCAAATACAACTTGTTGCTGATCAGTATCTATCCCAATTGGTAGATAAATTCCCACATTTGCTTTGGAATCGACGTGTACTTTGGTGCATGTTGGATATATTGCAATTGCTTGCATTTTCCCTAACACTCGATCCAAATGAGGAGACACCAACTTTACGTGTTATTTCTACACCATATACGCTGCATTTGATGGATTCATTACCCGCACGTGAAAGTCGTTTAAAGGATTTTGCTGATAGATGTCAGGGCATAGTAAATGAGGCAATGAAGTGGGCTCCACGGTCCACACGTTCACATTTACAAGAGTATCCCAATCAAATACCTACACCAGTACTTGCACGTCATAGTGGTTTGGCATTGGCTTTTGACTCCGTAGTAAACAGTAGCACTTTGTATCCGAACGCCTTGCCGTCGATCAGCAAAAGACCAAATTGTGTTAATAGTGACACGCCACGTTTTGTATCTGTACTCTGTTTACGTAGCAAATATGCTGGAGAAATATCCGGATTACTTTCGGTACTAAACGATGAAGATAAAGCGGGACTTGCCGACCGTTTAGTAAAGGTAATAATTTATAAGTGCATTTTCTTAAAATAAATATTTATTATAAATGATTTTTCATTAGGACGTCTGGGATGCTTGTGCTGACAAATGTGACGCTAAGCATCGTGGGGCATTATGGCGTGCAACCGCTTATCTCATAATCTGTTGTGAAATAAATCGCAAGCTATTACACGCAGTTGGTTAGTAGCATTGAGTTCATTTTATTGTAAATTTCATTAATTTAATAATTTATTTTCAGCAACATCACAAGTCGAATTATTCACTGAATATGCTATGGAAACAGCTGTTGAGTGTTGGCAATGGGTGCTCACAGCACGTCAAGATCTTGAGTTATGCTTTATACAAGAAATGGTCTGTGCTTGGCAAACAACTTTTGAAAAGAAAATGGGTTTATTTTCGGATGAAGTGGAGATCACAAATCCACTAGCTGCTTATGAAGGTTGCAAGCTAATAAGCGCACCAATTCTTATAACTCCACACGTAATTTGGCTGCAATTAATTTCGGAAATGGTCGATACAGCAAAATATTGTAATCGTGATAAAGTCGAAATGTTTTGCTTGTTGCTTCATCGTTGCTTGCCGATACCAAAAAACAACAAACAAAATCGACAAGTTTCGACGGTTGGTTGTCGCTTTAAACTTTTGCAATGTGGGCTTTCCTTGTTACAAGGTAATACTTTACCTAAATCACTAGCACGCAACATACTTCGCGAACGCATTTATAGTAACGCATTAGACTACTTTTGCGGTCCTCCGACCTGTCCAAATCAAAGCAAAGAGCAGTTATTGGATGATATATTAATACTTTTGAAATTCTGGCAAACTATGCGGAGTGAGAAAAAGCATTTGGTTACTTCAGAAGTGGGAGATTACGATATTGCCACAGCAAATTCAACTCAAATGTTATCTGTTAAACAAAATCCCGAAACTGCTTCACTTATAAGTGGTGGCGAAGTTGGTCGTTCAATGTCGGCAACTGGCACTACTGGTGGTTGGTATAACACAATACCACATTCTACTTCGACACTTTCAAAACGCTCGAATCGTTCGAAACGACTACCTTATCAGAAGGACTCATACGACAAGGATTATATGAAAAAACGTAATTTAATACTAGAACTCTTGGCAGTAGAATTAGAATTTTTGATTACTTGGTATAATCCAAACAGTTTTCCCGACTTGGCTATTCCCGGTAAGATTTAAAATATACAAAAAAAAAAAAAATTTAAAAAAATTATTTTTATAGGTGAAGAACAAATCACAGAATGGCGCGCACGTCCATACAAAATGAATGTTTGGCGTGATTATGCACGCTTGGCTTGGTACTATAATCCCTCACTTGCAGTATTCCTACCACAACGTATTAAAAATGCCGAATCAATTGAAGAAGAAGTAACGCGCTTAGTTTGTTCTGATCCAGTTGCTGTCTGTCATATACCTGAAGCTTTAAAATATCTTTGCACCACCAAAAATTTGTTACATGAGAGTCCTGATCTTATGTATATTCTATCTTGGTCACACGTAAATCCAATACAAGCGCTAGCATATTTTTCACGTCAATATCCTTCGCATCCTTTAACAGCGCAGTACGCTGTTAAGACTCTATCTTCATATCCAGCTGAATCTGTACTACCTTACATACCACAACTTGTGCAAGCTTTACGACACGACACCATGGGTTATGTTGCAGAATTTATTAAGAATATATCAAAACGTTCACAAATTGTTGCACATCAGTTAATATGGAACATGCAAACAAACATGTACATGGATGAAGACCAGCAACATAAAGATCCGAATTTATATGAAAGCTTAGATTTGCTATCACAAAATATAATTTCCTCTTTCTCTGGTGCGGCAAAACGTTTCTATGAGCGTGAGTTTGATTTCTTTGGAAAAATAACTGCAGTTTCTGGTGAGATACGCTCTTTTCCAAAGGGTCCAGAACGCAAAAATGCTTGTTTAGCTGCATTGAGTCGTATTAAGGTGCAATCTGGTTGTTATCTACCATCAAACCCAGAAGCTATGGTTTTAGATATTGACTATAGTAGTGGCACGCCTATGCAGAGCGCTGCAAAGGCGCCGTACTTAGCTAGATTTAGGGTACACCGCTGTGGTATTACAGAACTAGAGACACGTGCAATGGACGTATCTAATAATCCGGTACGTAAACTTATTCAGTTCGAAAATGAAATAGTAATTAATTGTTTATTTATTTTTAGCACGCGCAAGAGGATAATAAAATTTCCATGGGTCTTGAGTGCTGGCAAGCTGCAATTTTCAAAGTAGGTGATGATGTACGACAAGATATGTTAGCTCTGCAAGTGATAACTATCTTCAAAAATATATTCCAACAAGTTGGTTTAGATTTATTCCTATTCCCCTACAGAGTAGTAGCTACAGCACCTGGTGTAAGTTTAACTCATATATGGTTATTAAGCCAATATGTTTTTTATATTTCACATTTTTGAATAGTGTGGAGTAATTGAATGTGTACCAAATGCTAAATCACGAGACCAACTTGGTCGTCAAACTGATTCTGGTCTTTATGAATACTTTTTGCATCAATATGGAGATGAAAGTTCAAAAGAATTCCAAGCAGCGCGGGCCAATTTTGTGAAATCTATGGCAGCCTATTCATTAATTGGTTATTTGCTACAGATTAAAGACAGACATAATGGCAATATAATGATTGATAAAGATGGACACATCATTCATATAGGTTCATTTATACTATATATATACAAAGTAAATATAGATAAGTTCAAATTAAAAACCATTTGTATTTTTAGATTTCGGTTTCATGTTTGAGTCATCACCTGGTGGCAACATTGGTTTCGAACCGGATATGAAACTTACTGACGAAATGGTTATGATAATGGGTGGCAAAATGGAGGCACCACCTTTCAAATGGTTTTGTGAACTTTGCGTACAGGCCTTCTTAGCTGTACGTCCATATCAAGATGCAATTGTTTCACTGGTCTCGCTTATGTTGGATACTGGTTTGCCATGTTTCCGTGGACAAACTATTAATTTATTAAAACAACGTTTCGTGTCTACCAAAAATAATAAAGAAGCCGCAGCCCATATGTTGGCGGTAATACGTAATTCATACCAGAACTTCCGTACCCGTACCTATGATATGATCCAATATTATCAAAATCAAATACCATACTAATCAAATCAAATCAAATCATCTTATTTATTGGAAAGTGTTCTAAATGTATTATTATGTATTATAATTTATGTTGTATATATTTAGGTTAAAATTCTGTTATTAGTGTGAAAGTATTAATTTTAAAATGCAGATTTTATTTTATATATTAAAATTATTTTTTGGTTTTAGTTTACTTTTCCTGTTTTTTACATGCATTTTGTTAAGTTTTACTAGGATTGTTATGATTTCTTTATATTTAAAATAAAATTAATATATTGTTACATTTATTTAACTCAAGTTAATGCTTTTATATCGTCTCTTATTTAAGTGAATACTGGATTGTACCTAGTTAAGAACAAAAATACAAATACTTTGATATTGTGTTCCGAAGTGTGCATTACATTTAAGGACATCAATTTTATTCAAAGAGCAAAAAAGCAAACCTCTGATGACAGATATGATTCACTCTAGCATAATATATATGTACTAACATATATTTTGTAATCAGATTTAATTGTAACAGCAGTTTAATTTATTTAAACATCCACATGTATAAATAAAAAGTAATCTTCTTATGATGTTACATTTTCAAGTCCTTCTAAAAATACACTCTCTGCTGAAAAGAAAATCTAAGTTTTCTATATTTTGCTATGAGTTCTAAAATATATCAGAATTGTATAGTTTCTATTATCTGTAGATTATGTTGTCAACAGATATAAATCTATCACCTACCCCTCTTCCACTAAATGCTCCATCACCTAAGCAAGCATTATAATTAAAAATCAAAGAATATACCTGAGTTTATGTATGGATCTAATGACATATCACCTATAAATCAATAAGTGTTATATTAAGTGAATTGGTCGCTATAACTTAATTCAATGTTTCTTTTTGATTGTACAATCAAATGAATACACATATATCACTTCATTGATCAAAAAGAATGTATTATATTTCTCATTTAGAATTTTCAAGTGCGAATTAACTTAAGTTTTTAAATGCTTTTATGATATGTTTAGACTGTTCTAGTTAACTCGTTAAATATGGACTTGGAAAGGAGTAAACGTCACACGCTTTACTTGCTTGTGCAATTTCTAGAAGGCCTTTACAGATGTGTTCTAGTTATTAGATGTGTTGATAATACAGAAAAGAAATATATATAAAAGAAATTTAGAAGCGGATTTATCTCATTCACGGAAACTAGGCGTCTACACACAATGTTAAAGTGTGTGTAAAAATCTTGCCAAAATCTGGCCAGTGTAGACGCAAAGTAATGCCATTAAACTGATTTTGTTTTTGTTTTGTTTTACATAAAAGCGAAAAAAAAAAATTGAAATTTAAATAAAACTTATTATTTCCTTCATTTTTTTTATTTTTATTAAAATTTTTTGGTAACCTGACAAAAACAATTAAATATAAGACTTTATCACTTTACTGAGTTATTGAATACCCTTAGGACCATAATTATTTGATCGTTCTGGTATAAAGGCTGTAATAGTTATGTTAAGGCAGAATGACAAATTTACTGAGAACTAAAAATAAAAAAAATCATCTGTTGAATGTTAATTGATGCATTATATTAATAGTAACTCTGTAATTAAAATTATCTTTATAATGAAAACATAATGTAAAATGAATATTTAACTAATATTTTACTTATGATTAGATATTTATATATTATTAACAAACGTATTTCTGATATTTTATTATAATATATAGTAAATTATAATATAGTAAACACAATACATATATTAAAAAATAATCTATAATTTTTATCCATAATTTATTTTTAATTAATTATTTAATTTAATTATTTTTAAAGTCTTATTTCACATAATATTATATGTAAAATAATCCATTATTTTTGCAACCCAACTTTTATTTGTTCAAATTTTGTTCTTTATTTTTATGTAATAGATAAAAATCAAGGTTATTTTTAACATATAGAAATTACAAAAAAGAAATATATTAAAATGAATTAATTTTATATAAATAATTGTAATAATAATTAATATTAAATAAATAAATGCAATAATTACATTATATCTAAATAATTATTATAATTTTAAACAAAATAATTTATTTATATATTTTTATAACCGTTTTTCTAGTATTATGACACTATAGTATTATTGATTCAATAAACATATATATTGAAATTTTTAAATATAATATGCTTTCACTAATGCAACTCAACTTTTATTTGTTAAGTTTTTTGGTTATTAATTTTTTTAAATAAAAAACTATGCATATATTAATTGCTGTATAATATTATATCTGATGGATTTTTATATAAATAATATTTTATATATAATAATAATTTTATATATAATAATATTTTGTATATATAATATATATAATATATGTTTCATATTAAATATTTCAATTAAAAGTTTTTTAATATAATATTCTGATATTTTCTAATATAATAATAATTTTATATATAATAATATTTTATATATATAATATATATTAAACAAAATAATTTTTTTTTATATAATATTTGTTGGATTGTAATATTTATATGAATATGTTGAAAATATATAACGCTTGGTAATACTGGTAAAAGTCATTCATATTACTCAAGCGTGGCAATAATTACATTGTTACATTACATTATAATAATTACAATATTTCTTAATAATTTTTATACAAATATTTTTTTAAATAATATAATTTTTTTATATATTATATATATTGCATGATAATATTTATATGCATATATTGAAATGTGTACAGCGCTTGGTAATACTGGTAAAAGTCATTAATGTTATTCATGCATGGCAATACTAGCATTCACCAAGTAGAGAAGAAAAAGAAGCAGAAAAGTCGTAGAGGTTGGTTTCTACGTGTTCTGCGTTCGTCGCTGTAGTTGAAAGTTTGCTAATTAAATGAAAATTCAATTGAATGTTTTTGACTGTGCTGAAAAATTAACTTCTAATTTTTTCTTTTTTTTTATTTGAAAGAGAAAAAGGTGTAAATCATTAAAAACGGTAATTAAATAAGTTAATTTATATGAAGTATATAATTCTGCAAAAAAGGCCTGACAAAGATAGAAGAAAAATTTTACGTAGTTAAAAAGCAAGAGAAATGAAACGAGAAGGTAAAGAGTGTATCAAGTGTGCGTTTGATTAAAAAAAGTTTACTGAAATTAAAAATTATTATAGATTTTATTGTAAATATTTTGTGCCCGTTTTATTGGTTTTATAGTTTGTTGGACGTATAGTGAAAACCGACTTACATACATATATGATAAGTAAAAAATTAATAAGTTTAAAAATAATATAAATTTTGTGTTGTAACCGCGGTAAATTAACTTTGTGACAACAATATTTAAAAAGGTTTAATTTCATACAAAACACTATATTCTGCGGTGAAGAATTTTAATTTTATGCTTAATACATGTATCAATTCCTCATATATACATGCGACTAATTAAACTAATTGAAATATAGTGATTGCGAATTACTGGAATTACCGAACAATTCGCCAAGGGTGAGAATGTTATAAGTTCAAGTGACATATCTTATATTTAAAAGAGAAATCATATGATTGAAAATAATATAAATTATAGATAAATATCTTATGTAGAAAAATTTATTGGAAGTGCTATCTGCTTGCTGCTATCCTTGAAGAATAGATGGGCCAAAAAAAAGTGATTTTGTCATAATTTAATGTTTGAGCAGGATAGCAACAAAAAAATAAGTCCATACTTAACCTAAAAAAAATTACTTTAACCTTTGTCAAAGTATATAACTGAAAGAGATAGCAAGCATGACAAGTGCTTGTGTTATACGCTTCGAAACTGTGAATGGTGAGATTTGGTTTAAATTGAACGAAAATTGAATGCGGCAACAGAATTGAAAGTGTTGTATTGATTGCGTTAATAGTTTTTTTTTTCTTTTTACAATTAACACATATTATTCGAGTATGACTAACAAATAAATTCATTCATTTTTTTGTTTTCATTTCTAAACAATTTTACACAATTGTCAAATGCAATTTTACAATATTTAAAAATTTGTTGTCAGCGTTATTAGTGTAGATGAACTTGCTTCCGCATTACTTGCCGCTCTTCTGTTCCACAGGTACATACAGAATTCGGTTGTTTTTCTTCTACTTTAGTTTTCAATTTTACTCTGCGTTTTCTTCTGTGTTCAATTTTCGTTTGAAACATTTCACTATTGCGTTGTTATTTAAAATTGCTTGCGTGTTTTTTGTATCAAAAAAATATTTTATTTTTTTTATTTAATTTGAGTAATTATAGCATTCCAATACAATATATATTTTCGTTTTACAAAAACTATTTTATTTCAATTATAAGTAATAATTTGTTAGTCCCTGAACTTGTGCATTTCATATGGAGAGTCAGTTTCAGTCTGAAACTGCCAATGCAAGTCAAGTACTGGTTTAATCAGGAAGTGTGTGCTCCAATAAAAACTGAACGCATAAATAAATCAGTTGTTTGTGATTTTAATACTTAATAGTAGTGATTGTTTATAACTGCATTTTTTGTTTATATTCAAATGTTTATTTATGATTCAGTAATAAAATATATTTTTATATAAATTTTGTTTAATTTGTTTTTTTTCTGAACAAAAATTATTTTTTTTAAAATATAGTCAGATTTTTGTTCATAAACTAATATATTTTGCAATCGCTTTTAATATTTTATAATATTAAAAAATAACATTGCCTATAATCAACAATCGTTTGTTTCAAAACTATTTGAATGATATGCTTCTAAACCCTAGGTACTTGATAAATGATTATTTGCTACCACTACAAAATTATGAGTATAATTACTCTCTAATTACCTTATGCTTATCCCTCTATAGTACCATACAGCTATGATTGCTAACAGGTTAAATTAAGGGTCATCTTAACCTATATTGCTATGTTAACAAGATGGGATTATCTAAAATGCCATATTGTCGTCTCTGTTTATTATTAAGACTTAGCAGATTTTTGCAATTGCTGACAGGTTGCCTGATTGGCCATCTCAAGCTGCATTGTCATCAAAACAAGATGATATTATCTAACGTCACATAATGTCGTCTCTATATAGCATATAAAATTTACAGTCACATTCTTTGCGATTGTTTTCTATAGTAGCACAGAGATGCAGTTGTCGACAGGTTAACTG